TACTGTTCCAGTTACATTCATCAATGTTAATTTTAGTCCATAAAGATATGTCAGTGGGTGTGATTACACCAGCAACAGTTGTTGAAGGTGGAGTCCACCCATTTTGAATGCTAATCTAAATACGTTCATCCAAAGATTTAAGTAAGGCTCTCATTCGAACTTTCCAGTAGGCATAGTTACTTCCGTCGAAAAATGGAGGCACAGACAATGATTGACTCATCTAGATGTTATAAAGGGTCAAGAATCGAATTAAGGCTCTGATACTAATAGAAAATTACGCAGTTCGACCCTAACAATACCTAGAAGGGGGTGAATAGGTATATTATGCGGAATTAAAAATATTTCATGAATTAAATAGCAACAAGTCAATTTTTAATTCTTTTCTAGATGATTAAACATGTAAGTCATTTTAGTCTTAAGTTTGAATACCGCAGTTTATATGATCAATCGATAAATAATAACAAAATCAGTAAATCAACACCAGCATGATCACGGAGAAACCCAACTGGAAAAAACTCCAGGTACTTTGCCAGGCAATCCACTATAAATAATTCAAACAACTTACAGTCTATCAGACTGGACAAATCGTATTGTCTGATCTCTCGACTGCACACCTTACAGTTCTCATTGGATCCCGTGCTCTCCTGTACCAATCCTTAGCTGATGTTGCCAAATCTCTCTGTGGAATTTACTACCCTGCAGCATTCCTAACCTTATGGAATCGTCTATTTCCTCTAGATCAACGAGGAACACCTTGTTCTTTAGAAACTGGAACTCCAGTCAAATTCTCTCGATCTTCAGAACTCTGACCAAATGTAGAGTAAAGGCAGTTTGGTATTTGGATTATAAGAACGATATTTTTCTCACTAAAACCAATCAAAGTATATGAATGTTGAAAGGTGAAATAAAATGAATCTCTCACAGATGAAGCTCTCACAATGTTCAACCTATCTAGTTTTCGTATAAATATGTTTTGGTATATATAGGTAGGTTAGAAAACAAATGGGTCGGGTAAAATGCTTTTAAATCACGAAATAAAATTTCCCGGATGACCATGTCGCTCGAGCGAGGGCTCAGCGACAGCGTATCATTTGAGCGAAGTAGGGGTGACGGTCCAGGGACGATGTTTCTGCTTTTGTCGCTCGAGCCAAACCTTGGCGACAGTGTAGCGAAAATCCGCGCTGTTTTCCTCTTTTTGTCATGCTCGAACCCTAGACCTAATAACCATATTTTCAACTATTTGTACATTACCCTTGACTTTTTAAATACAGTATGATTCAGTTCTTTTGTTTACAGAATTGTCAATTACAAAACATCTAAAACCTAACAATTTTTTAGTATATAATGAATTGTTTTTTTAGTTTGTGGATCTTGTTGCAATGATATCAGCTGAATTAAGGTTAGATATGAGGATGGCCGATCTAAAAATAGAGAGCGGTGTAGATGAAATGATTGTCCCGATTAGATTAGACCACTAAAACGTGGATTTCAAACAGGCTCTCTGGCCTACCTCACTTTTATGGCGGCAGCCTAATTACTTATTTCTTGATTATTTTATATTTTAACTTATTTTTAAATTAAAAGCTAAAACTTTAATACACCTTAATATACTCGTCAAGCATGCAAATGATTGATGTAAGATGTTAACTAGGAGTAAACGCGATTCAGTTTGAATAATTTGTACCATATTTTCAACTTAAATCATTTCATACGATTTGAAATTTTTTCAAACAAAACAAAACAATTTTATTTTTAGAACCAAACCAAACCATAATTTGCGGTTCGGTTCGATTCGGTTTTAATTTTCGATTTACCTGTAGACATTATAGTAATATATTTCAAAAAAGTTAACATATAAGTTTAAGCGAGAACTAATAATGTTAAATTACGTTTATTTTTTCCATGAAACCCGTTAATAAATATGTTTAATGTTAGTTGCTAAAAGATTTTAATAGAACAAATATAACTTTTTTTCCTTGTTATTATCTTTTCTAGTTTGTCTTTCATATTGTCATTAGGGATATCAACAAGTTGAGCCAGCTCGAGAGCCGAATTTTGAAGCTTGGGCTCGGCTCGATAAAAATGGTTCGAGGCGAACCAAGCCTTTGCTAGACCAAAAAATTTAGCTTGACCCGAGAAAGCTCAGGTCTTAGCGACCCGATATATTTTTTTCTTTAAATTCATGATAAATTTAATTTTTTTTTTAAAGAATCGAGCCGAGCCGAGCAGGTTTACAGACCGCCCTAGCTGACGAGCCAAATTGCTACACCTAATTGTCACATAGCAGTTGGTAAAGATAGAGTCAGATTTTGCTGTAATAATTTGATTAAAACTTCATTTCGTCCTGTTAGTGAGATGAAAAATAATGACTGAACATTATATGTTTAGATATACAAAGAATGATTGAGTTCGGATTTATTGTGAATTAACAAATTTCATTCTCTAACTACTTTTAAAAAAAAGTAGAAAGTAATAGTATTAGTATTAGTTAGGAAATTTTAACAATTGTTTACACAATCAATACGCTCTGTCATTCGTTCTTTCCAAACCATAAACAAATTCATTAATCACCTAGGGGGCACAAACAAGCTTTTTTTTTTTTTATTTAAACCACAACTCACAAGTATATAATAAGTTCAAAAACAACAAATAAAAGAAAAAAAATGAAAAAAAATGGCTTGAATGTGAATCTGAGACTCACAGAGAGAGAAAAAAGGCGATTCAAGTAGAAATTAGCAGATTAACACGTAAACTGCAACTGGCGATTTGCAATTGGGAATCACATCTCATTTAGCAATGGTGGCAAGTGTCAAAGTTTGAGAAATGAGAGTTTTTATTGAAGCTAAGGGTGTGATTTGCTATCGTAATTTTTGTCGAATTATGACTTGAATTTTTGAAAATATATGATTTTTTTTTTTTATTTCATGTGATTTGAGAATAATTTTAGTTTCGTTTAGATATCCGGTCACGACATGTGTTGTAGACTATAAAAATCATGGACCAATAATGATGAACTTAATTTACTTTATATGATTATTTCAATAAGCTAGTCGTAATTTGTATTGTTAAATTGGTATTTTCTGAAAAGTGAGAACTGTAAAATTTATAAGTCGATAAAATTAATTTTTAAATTAAATTTTTTTTTAAAAAAGGGTTTAGTTTGATTTTGTGCGGTTTTTGAAAATTGAAACATAAATCAAATCATTTTGAAATAGATTGGTTTGATTTGGGGGAAAAAACGGTGGGTCCATATGGACCCGAACTAACGATTTCGGTTCGATTTGTAGTTTCGCGATTTTTTTGTGCATCCCTAATGTTGACGTTGACAATTAGAAAAGTATTTCCTCTCTCAATTTAATATTTTTATACATTAATAACTTATTTTCACACACAATCCCTGTTTGACTTTATTTTTTAAAATTTATTTATATTTATATATATTTCTTCAACAAAATAATTTTGAAAATGAATTCATAATTTTTTTTATTACTTTTGAAAACGTGTTTTTCAAAATAAATAAATAAATAAATAAATATTTTTTTACCAAATTTATTTTGAAAAATTTCTACCGACTTAAATAATTATGGTAAGATTAGCGGAGAGTCTTAAAACCGGTGATTCTCTTGCCAAATTAGTATAGAATTATAGATTATTTAAACAAATAATGGGATTGGGACAATGAAACAACCGTGGTTATACAAAATTTAAGAATCTTAATCAAATATTGTAATGTGAGTTAAGACACGATACAAAGGTTGTTAATATGTATTATAATTTGACTATTACATGAAAGAAAATGAAAATTATGTGGGTTTATCTTGTAATTTAAAATTTATTGCAATCAACTATTTCATCAAATTACTACCTTGTCACATTTTGAAGAGTTTTAGCTCCTAATAGCTAAAATGTTCTAATTAATCAATCATAAATATAATACATTACTACACTTATTACATAGCATATTATGTACACATATGTAAACCTAAACGTGTGTTGACTTGGTCACAACATGCATGTAAAGTAAATTGAATCGTTAAGTTTGAAGGAGATTGAAATGTAAATAATCTAACAAAAATTTGTATCATTCATTTTCTGAGCTGATTTGCTTTTTTCATACATATCGTGTTGGTGTTGACTCTTTCACTTTGTAGTACACGCAATTTACCTATTTGGTTCTTTATTAATTTTCTTATTTTTAACTTTTTAGGTCTAGTTGTTCACTTGGTTTGAAAATGCATAATCAACACTTTATATATAATGTAACTTGGATG